TTTATAAGCATCATAAAAGATTTTTTTTTAGAATTGAAGAGACTACCAGGTCTCTTTCATTTAATAGAGTACAGAGAGACAAAATAATTTGATACTGAATTTTATCACGGGACACTGACCTTGTGGTGCTATGCTTCGTATTGTGTTGACCTCCCCTTTGATGTCAATGTTGGATTGAGCAGCTTTAGACAGGGAATGTCCGTCCACCAAATTCTGGTAAAATGTCAGCATAAATTTGTTGGCGTTTCCTAGTGATGGCATTGCTCCCTCTAAATGTTCATTTAAAGGGAAAGGTCTAGTAGACGAAAGGAGTGAAACGTGCGGGGAACTCAGTCCATGTAAATTATCTCTAAGAGTGGCACCGATCACAGAATGCAGAAGCAATGAAAATTTCGTCAGCAAAGTCAGTTTGGCCATGATGTGGAGATTTTGGATCTAACACACCTGATTTCGCATCAGTTTAATTTCAATGTGAGGTGAGAGGAGTGAGGGGGAATTAAGGGGATTACAGGCGTTCCTCTATCGCCGAAGCTATCTGTGTCACTCCGATCCCAGGCCCGTCCGACTAATCCCTCCTGATCCCCCTCTGTTGTTGTTACCATTAAAACGGGATGAAATTTTTATAATAGATACATCGATGTTGAATAGCGTTTAAGCTCTCCCAGTAAAAGGTCTACAGAGTCTTGCTTTATATAGTAGTTTGCAGAAAAATACGATACGCCCATGATGCTGGCATGCAATAGGCTATGATCCATTTATACTCTGTTATATATTTATTTATAAATTATAGGACAATCGTGACATTCTTACTAGAAACAGGGAATTCCTTGTTTTCATTCCTTGTAATTTCTTTTCTTTAATGTAATTGCAGCACTATTAGTGTGTAAATACATGAACGTCCATTTGTAGATCTATATATCGCACACCACGTGAAACACTTCTCTTTGTGTTTTTCATCGTTTTTAGTCTTAACGCTTAATTAATTTAGTGGACAGATATCGGCATTAAAGACATATGCACATGTACAGTAATATAATGGAGTTGAAACATGGTCAGCATTACAAGTATATGCTACTCAGTAGAAAATGTAAGTAAAAAAAAATATATAAATGCACGCATGTAATACAAATGATAAGGAAAAATTAAAACCATGGTGAAAAAAATGGATCATATATATTTAAATGAACATATCAAGGGTAATCAATGTCTTACCGTCTTTCTTTAAATATTGTGGTCATTTGCCCAGATCTAGAGAGGGTTGGGTGAGGGTTGGGGGGGGGGCGGGCAGGGGGGCGGCGGAATCTTACTTACTTAGTCCTCTTCGTGCTCTGAGCAGATAAGGCCCGAAATCTGCAGAGTTATTAAAGGTAATGTATATAGTAAACCAACTAAAAGCGACATTGGAACCCCCCCCCCAAGGAATCGCGGAGTCCCCAAGAAACCGTAGATCCGTGTTAATTAGGTATGAAAAGTCATAAAATTTAGAAGAAGTCAGCGCCCCCACCAACCCCCGCGAATTAGTTTTTTTTTTTGTTTACAAAAGGATTACCCCTTTTATTGCTTGTAAAGAAAGTTCTGCGTTACATTTCTTATTGACTGGGGTGGACCCCTACCCCACCCCCAGGAAGAAAAATTCTGGATTCGCACCGCGCCTAGGTCCTCAAACATTTTGTAAAGTGCTTGAGGACAGGGCACCCCCCCCCCTTCGATATAGACCCCTGGGCTTTTTCGACTTTTTTCTTAAAAATAATCTTTCATTGACATATTTGTGATAAGACATATACCAACAAATCGAAAAATTACCTAAAACAAACGTTTTATAAAATCTACCTTATATTCTATATATAAAGTTAATTTATATATATATAGAGTGGGGTAGAAATTTTTATAAAATGTAAGTTTAAGTAAATTTTCTGAATTGATAGGATAGATTAAATCACAAATGTGTCATCCATGTATAATTTATGTGGAAAAAAGTCTATCTGGCCCGGGTATCTATATTGGGGGGGGGGGGGTCCTGTCCTCAAGCACCTTTGGGATCATTCAGCAATAATCACTCTTTAATAAAAATATCATCACGGTCATTTAAGAATCGTATAAGTCGTGTTTTGCAAATCCGATATACTGTTTTGCAAGTGAGGTAGTTTGAGTCGTCCACTAAATTCGCTAAACTTTGCATCCAAGATTTAACGCGAGATGTGATTGGTCAATAGTACTTTTCTAAAACAGGTCTGACCAATCACGCTCCGCCTTTTACCTATCATGGGTTTTTCCTAAATGTCGTCTATTGTAGGCTCGGGCCTTGTCGTGAACGAAAAAAGGCCACCGTATTTATTCAAATCGGAGAGGTTGTACGTTTTAACTGCAATTAACAAAAGAAAAAGATGAAGTCCGTGAACGCTGGAAATTTAGTTTTTGTTTTTCCATCTCCGGAAAGACTTCAAAACTGAAGAAAATGTACGAATTTTACCTCGTTTTAGTGGACGACTTAAGGTACATCGACTAGCATAACTGGATATCAAGTTACGAGGGGCGTTCAATAAATAATGTCATCAGGGCTCGGAAAGAAACAGAAATCCCTTTTCTATGATTTTGTCTTCATGATTTAACTAAAATATTCTCTTTTAAAAGACATATCCGTAACATTTTTATTCAATTTCTAATTGTTTTTAGAACACAGTTTTGAGTATGACTTTATAAAAATGGCGAATGATTTGCTGTTTGGTTTTTTCTTTCTGAAAGGTGCTTTCCTATTTGGGAAATGCATATTTATCTGTATTGTATGATTCTTTCTGTTTAGGCCTATGGGTTTGGATAATTTAATTGGCTGTTTCATTCTTTTTCAATTTTTTGGCAAACATTTTGCTTATGAAAAATTGAACTGCCTCCCTATATATGTATTTGAACAACAAGACCGCTGATATTTAAGAAAATAGCCTGTTTTTGTGCTCTTGCAAATTTTTGCGGCCTTTGCAGTTTTGTCAAGTACATCTTATTCTAAATTTGTTTTAAGGGTTTAACACAAAATTTCTTTCTGATCTGTTTGAATTTCAGAAAAACGTGGATAAGAACAATTTTTGATAATTGTTTAGATTTTCTGATTATTTATAAATATAGGGTAAAATTAAACTTTTTTTACAGTATGTTAAAACAGTATGACCCCTATGATGTCTATCAAATTTGCTATTTACGTCAATAAAACATAATCTGCCTAATATACAGGTTGTTGTTCCATGTCATTGTTGTTATTTTACGTTATGTGTGTATGAAACAGACATGTATTTCATGTTAATATATTTTTGATTTTACGTTATGCCAGTACTATGTTTGATTTTTTTACGTCATGCCAGCTACAATGAAATTATGTTTGATTTTACATTATGCAATAATTAGAAAAAGTCAGTATTATGTTTGATTTTACGTTATGCCAGTACCATGTTTGATTTTATGTTATGCCAAGACTGTGTTTTATTTTATATCATGTTACCAGTGATTTTACTATGTTTGATTTTACGTTATGCCAGAACTATGTTTGATTTTACATTATGGCAGTATTATGTTTGATTTTACTATGCTAGTATGTTTGATTTTATATTCATGGCTATGTTTGATTTTACTATGTTTGATTTTACATTATGGCAGTACTGTGTTTGATTATACGTTATGCCAGTACCATGTTTATAAACCAAAGCTTTATCCGGTCACTGCCCTAATAAAGCCTCGTGCATGTATTCCGACGTTCTAAAAGCATTGTGACGTCACATATACTGCAATGTTTACGCCATGCCGTCATAGTTTTAACTGCAGTGATGTGCCTAAATCTGTCGAAAATAGTTTTGGACGTTCAAATGTAAAATTTTGTTGCAGGATAAACAAAATAAATGTTAACTGTTTTGAAATATAAGCGATATTTGGGCTCGGGTCGAAAACGTAACCCTCGCCCTCTATCACGTTTCCTTACCCTTGCCCAAATATCGCTTATATTTCAAGACAGTAACCATGTATTTTATATTGATTTTACGTTATGAGGATACTACGACTATGTTTGATTTTACGTTATGTCGGTAAAATTGGAGGCTATGTTTGATTTTACCTTATGCCAGTACTATTTTTGATTTTACGTTATGCCAGTACTATGTTTGATTTTACTTTATGCCAGTACTATGTTTGATTTTACGTTATGTCGATATTATGTTTGATTTTACGTTATGTCAGTACTATTTTTAGCCGGGCTTATTGCTCAAAGAGCGATTGCCGGCTTATGTCATCCTGTTCAAGACAGGATGTCAACCCCATAGTCGCCATTTTAAAGTTACGTGCAAAAATATAGTTCTTACTCTCAACCGCTTCTGAGATAATACAAACGCTAAATAAAGCAACAAAAATAAAACGAAGTTTTATCTATATAAAATAAACATTTGTAGTAATGACTTTGAAAACTTCATAAGTCAAAGAACATAGTTCATTAGCGTAAGGATTTTTGATAATCAGTGTTACCGTAGTTCTCTACACATACGAGGTAAAGCAGGAGAGGGAACCAGACTGGCCTGTTTGTTTACATTCAGCTGCGGTACCAGATTAAATCTGATTCTGACAAAATCGGACCGTGGTATTAGGATTGCAAAACTCACTGTCAGTGTCTTACCATTTATATTGATAGTTTTAAAATAATTTTTTCATCAGAATATAAACGTGATTCATGTAAGAAATCCATTCTACTCTGTAAATGAGCCCGGCTCTCTGTACTTCTGAGTACTTTGATTTTAAGTTATGCCAGTACTATGTTTGATTAATAAAATTAAACATTGTACATTACTGGTCCCTGTGCCTTAAGCTATGTTTTACCTTTTGTCACATCTAATTCATACGAGTATTTGGAATATGGTAACTAAATTGTGAATTTCCCATCAATGTCTCAAACTATAGCATTATTTTTTGATAATTAAAATTGCTTTCTACATAAAAATAATTTGAAATTTAACATTTTCGAAAACAAAAACAAAGAAATATAACTCTTTATGTACACTGGATATCATTTGGCATTCCATAAAAAACGAACAAACAAACAAACAAACAAACGACATTATGTGATAGGAAAACGAAATAAAAACAAAACAATATGCATATTTAGTAGGAAATAATTGTGCTAACTCATTAATTACAGTTGATTTTAACTTTTCATGAAAAAGATCGGGAATAATTTAGTCACATTTTTTTCTTTTTGAATAAAAATGTTTTCATTGATACAATAGGATGTCTGTAAATATTGCTTCAAGTATAACACATCCCCCAACAAAGTACAGAAACCATGTTTTCTCTTTCGGTAAATCGCCTCTCCGAATAAAAACTATCTACAATGCAAAAAGAAGCGCAAGAAAATATTTCTTACAATAACTAGATCCACAAACACTGGTATTTGCAATTTTAAATAGTAAGTAAGTCCGATATATTTAATTAGATATGTAAGTTTTAAAAATGCTTTACTGGGTACAAATATAAACTTTTTATCAAACCGTTTCTAAGTCCAAAAAGAAATCTGAGTCACACTGAGTATATGTATGAAATGAAAATTGTTGCATAAAAAGAATTCAATTTCGACGAACTTGTCTCTTGACAAGCCCTCACCACGGGTCCTTATGACATTCATCATTTTAAGGATAGAACATTCTATCTAGGCCACACCCCACATAGTATCAGTCTTTGATCAATATGGTTCCACCCCTGGCCTGATGGTGGTGTCTCACTGTCTTGCAAATATAGGGTGTGATACGGATACCGAGTTGTACTCTATACATCATTTTTGTCAACAGACGTAAAGATATTACGGGGGGGTGTATGAAAAATGTTAATAATTTTTTAGAGACTCTTACCATGAATATTTCCAGAACCACGAACCCTATAAGAGTTATGCCAAGCATGAAATGTCCGCCGCCATAGGTTCCAAGCTCTGTCCCTCGGACCATGCTAAGTATGATGCTGATCTACAACATTAAACACAGAAAGTAGCTGAAGGAAACTGGGTTTCGCAGGAACAAATTTAGGTAGAGAACTGTACCTTTCTGGGACAAAAAAAAAATGTTGTCAAGATCACAGATATTCACAGTATGACGTAATTATGCACAGGTATGTAGCATCGTTTTTTTGAAAGTCGGGGGGGGGGGGGGGGGGGTAGTGGCAAAATTTTTTTAATGCAAACTTTCTTTTACTTTCAATTTTTTTTGGGCATACAATACTACATTTCCTTGATATCACTTCACTGTGATAAAAATTTGGGTTAGAGTTAGCTAAAATATGGAGAAGCTGTTTTTTTTGTATATATATATATATATATATATATATATATATATATATATATATATATATATCCAAAATTTAAACAATGTCTCAGTAATCGGACAACAATATTAAAAAAAGTAAAAAGAAAACACAAAAATCCTCAGTTAAGCTTTAGCGCTTTCATTTTCAATCTTCAGAAGCTTATATATATATATATATATATATATATATATATACACATGTATTAAAACACTAATTTCCGACTTATCATTAGGTGTCCCGGTAGGGCCATTCTCAAAAATGTTACAGCGTGTCAGGAAAGTGACAACGCACTAGAGTGAAGTAACAACGCGCTAATGCGTTCTTAAAAACGCACTAGCGCAAAGCAAAATACACAAGTGAAGTGTGTTTTTGAGAACGCATTGTGACCCATGGACCTCTTGTGTTATTAATTTACTTTGAAAAATTCATGGTTAGCACAAGTTAAGCCTTAACGATTGTCAATATTGGCCTGAACTCACAATGTGAACTAGTCGGTGATTGGTTTTATGGCCGCTGTGGAAATTGCTCATACAGAAACAAATCGCGAAACCAGGGCCCGAAAGTGTTGTACCCCCTTCCTCTCTTACATCCAGAAGATCGTAATTACTGGTTACCATATTCTGTTTTCTGACGTTTTTAATAGTCAATGATTCATAATATATAAAAGAAAAAATCTAGCGATGTTACTTTTTAAAAACTTAGGACGGCGTATTCGTGCCATATTGACAATGTAGAGAAAGTTTTAAAAAATCGTTAGTACGATTTAGAAAATCGTTTGTACGATTTAAAAATTGTTTGCACAATTTTTATTTCTTGTTATTACACGTAGAAGAAGCGCAGTAGAAAACTTTGCACAAGTAGGACAACGTATCCACGCATACTTTCAATGAATGACACGATGGAAAATTGATCAAGGGATATTTCAAGATGGGTTTCATTTTTTTTTTTTGGGGGGGGGGTTGCATAGATCCTTTCGCAAACTCACAGAGTCTTTGTTAGTAAACGAATGTTGAAAATGACAACAGTTAAGTTGGGACTGTTCAGACGTTAGAACATATCCGACATAGGGGATGTAGCTCTTTTCATTGAGGAAACTTGAGTCATGTACGTGGTCAATTGCATGGATACAGCTGGTTGTACTATAAAGCTATTATGGCAGGAATTGCCGTTTCTCAAGAAGATACAAGATCCCAAGGGAGTGTGTTTGAGAAAAAGAAACAGACTAAGACGAAGATTGTACACTAACAAAGGTCCAAATTACGTATGACACGTAGATGGATTATACAATTATACAAGATGGCAATAGACGTTCTAAAGATAGCTCAAAACGTTCCATTCGAACGGAAAATTTTACCACTTCAGTGCGCTTCATTGTATGTAATTTCTCGATTATGAAATTTATAAAACGTGGTCCTTAAGAGATGAATTTGTGAAAATTTAATAGGCGACGACAACGACAGTCTACGACACAGGCGCTTGACGTTTTTAACTCTTTCTCTTCATGAATAAAATCAAAGTACTAGTACTCAGAAGTACTGAGAGCCGGGCTCATTTACAGAGTAGAATGGATTTCTTACATGAATCACGTTTATATTCTGATGAAAAAATTATTTTAAAACTATCAATATAAATGATAAGACACTGACAGTGAGTTTTGCAATCCTAATACCAAGGTCCGATTTTGTCAGAATCAGAATTAATCTGGTACCGCAGCTGAATGTAAACAAACAAGCCAGTCTGGTTCCCTCTCCTGCTTTACCTCGTATGTGTAGAGAATTACGGTAACACTGATTATCAAAAATCCTTACGCTAATGAACTATGTTCTTTGACTTATGAAGTTTTCAAAGTCATTACTACAAATTTTTATTTTATATAGATAAAACTTCGTTTTATTTTTGTTGCTTTATTTAGCGTTTGTATTATCTCAAAAGCTGTTGAGAGTAAGAACTATATTTTTGCACGTAACTTTAAAATGGCGACTATTGGGTTAACATCCTGCCTTGAACAGATCACATAAGCCGGCAATTGCTCTTTGAGCAATAAGCCCGGCTAAAAATTCCTCTACTATAATTATAGTATACAATGAAGCGCACTGAAGTGGTAAAATTTTCCATTTGGATGAAACGTTCTGATTCATGTTTTGAACGTCAATTATAACATAACGACACGCCCATTATAAGAAAGAAATATTCGTCGTAATGTTTTAGGACACCCCACTTTCCGGAACAAACAACATGATTTACACTGAAATGAAGATTTTTATTAAGAAAGAGCTACATATAGAGTCCCCGCTTCTGTAAAACTCGCATTGAAACGAATTTGTACATAATTATGATTTTATCATGTTTATTGGAGTTAGCATAATGCATGTATCAGTCGAACACGTGCTTACTCGGTGTTTATGTAGACCCTCATTTTGATTGGCTATTATATTTATGGAACCTGTTCTACAGGTATTCGATTGAATCATTTGACCGATTTTTCCTTTCTAAAGAAATGGGCGTGTTTAAAGATAACTCAAAACGTTCCATCCAAACGGAAAATTTTACCTCTTCGATGCGCTTCATTGTAGGGTTTTTTTTATTTATGAAGAGAAAGGTTAAAAATGTCAAGCGCCTGTGGTCTACGAATAAAATTCAATCTAAAAATCTCTTCAGCTCAGGCTCAAAATAATAAATAATAATTCGACTTTGGTTTCGTTCTTAACTTGGAAATACATGTTACATTTTTATGTGTGTGTGTATTTGTGTCATAGGCGTCGGAACCGGGAGGGGACGGGGGGGGGGGGGGGGGGTAGCCCCCCTTCCTTTTTTGCAAAGATAGACATAATATAGGTATTGAAAATTAGAATTAACCTTTTATGGTTCGTTTAGCCCCCCCCCCCCGCACTTTCAATTTGCTTCCGACGCCTATGACTGATGACTACCCATAAAGAAGCAAATGAAATATTGTATTATATGTAGTATTTACACATTTTTATAATTAAATGCATGTAATCCTAAAAAATAATGAAATAAGGCCTTATCTCAGATATCGAATTGAAAAAAAACAAACATAAAAGTAGAATATAATTATGTAATATATGGTTCTATATATATGAAAGGGAGCGACGATTGTGAAATTAATTTTGTTGCTAATTACTGCATTCACACATTTAATATGACTGATATTTGGATTTTTTAAATGTCAATATCAAATGCATTATAAGAGATAAAGATTTAAAGGTCAAATTCAAAGCAAATAGATATACACATGTACTTGTAAATTATATATATTGTAAACAATAGTTAAAAAGAAGGAATTACAATATTCGTTTAATTTTAAACCTAGTTGTTTTCTTTATTTACCTGTTTAATTAAATATCGCTAAATATCAGTCAATTTCCGGAATTCACCTATTTTGGACGTTTTGCTCCTCTTCAAGTCTATATTTCGATGTGGCCGCATCCAAGTACATATGCGAAACTTTGCAGAAAGAACAAGTATACTTTGTTTACTAATATGCAAGAGAAAAAATGACTGTACAAAAGTGCGGCCACGTCCGTTTTTAAGAAAAATGGTAGTTGAAAATATTTCGTTTTTGGATAGATGCGACTTTTCCTCCATAATAAAATCTATACTTTTAAAGAAATGTATTGTTTAAGTTTGAATCTAAAAGATTTAATATGTTTTACGGTGTGACCGTTGGGGCGAGCGTAGTTACGCACTATCATAAACCTTCACATGTAGTGCCTATCATTCAAGAAAAAGAAAGAAAAAAGAAAACAATAAAAAGAAATCACTTCCCAAGCATCGGGATCGAGATTCCGAACTTCTCGGAAGTGTATGTCTGACAAAATGCGAAATCGGAAATACCCCAACCGTTAAAGTGATGAAAGTATGACGTCAGATAAAAAGTTCTGTTGACTTAGGACGCAAACAATATTTTTATGGCATGGACATTGCATTAAAATCGTTGTTTGTAATTTTTTTCAAGTAAGTTGTTGCTATGTTTAAGCCAACATGTTGTTATGCACCGCAAAGGATTATTGGGAGTTTGGAATTTTTTCACGTGGACTCATAAAAATTTCTTGGAACAATGTGCAGATTTCAACCTGAATTTCCTCTGCTCGTACACGTTAGTCTATTGAGCTCGCTACGCGAGCGGCGCTTCGCGCCGCCTCGCTGCGCTCGCTATTATCTAATCTATATACTTTTACAGATATTTCTTGTTTAAATCTGAATGTTATGAAAACCACATAAATATTTCTCCGTAGAATTTAATATGTTTTACGGTGTGACCGCTGGGGCGAGCGCAGTTACGTACTATCATAAACCTAAACATGTACTGCCTATCATTCAAGAAAAAGAAAGAAAAAAGAAAACAATAAAAAGAAATCACTTCCCAAGCATCGGGATCGAGATTCCGAACTTCTCGGAAGTTTCCGGCAAAATCGGAAATACCCGAACCGTTAAAGTGACGAAAGTATGAGAAAGGGGGAGGGGGTTATATGTCGTCAGATAAAAAGTTCTGTTGACTTAGGACGCAAACGATATTTTTATGGCATGAAGATTGCATTAAATCGTTATTTGTAATTTTTTCAAGTAAGCAGTTGCTATGTTTAAGCCACCATGTTGCTATGCACCGCAAAGGATTATTGGGAGTTTGGAATTTTTTCACGTGGACTCATAAAAATTTCTTGGAACAATGTGCAGATTTCAACCTGAATTTCCTCTGTTCGTACACGTTAGTATATTGAGCTCGCTACGCGAGCGGCGCTTCGCGCCGCCTCGCTGCGCTCGCTATCAAGGGACATTACATGTAAATGACGCAATACATTGAAAAACATGACGTCATAATGAGCCATCATAATTATATTGAACAACCAAATTCTTGAGTCTTCTATAAAAAAGTAATTAATATGAAAAATTTTCAATCAATATATAAGTGAAAAATAGTAATAAGGACATAACTTGGTATGGCTCAGAGGATTCATTTACATTTATGCACGTACCTCTAATATTAAAACGAGCGTCTCCTTCATAATGGACATGATATTAACTTGACTGTTCAAGAAAAAAAATCTTTTTTTTTACGTTCTGTTGAAAATTATCATGCAGCTTTCTTGGGTATAATTTAGGTTATACATTTATTATGCTGAATGTTGACAGCAATGTTTTGAAGACAGGTTATCATAAACATGCAATTCAAAGGTGGATCAAGGGCCGGAGCGTCCACAGGTACTTGTGGACAGGACCCCCCCTCCCTTTATATACACTCCTGGTCAAAGTATTTTTTTCTTTTTTTGTCATGAATTATGTTTCTAGTACTTATTTACAACGTATTCCATATGAAAAATCCAAAAAATAACATATATTTAACGATTTACTTAAAAAGTCATAACCTGGTATTATAAAATAGAGAAGGTAGGTCACTTCGGTTGTTTACATCGTACCCCTCTTGAATATCGGGCATAAAGTATCATATACCTACTACATGTTACCAAAATGTGACGGACGGAAATCTAGAAATTTTTACGATTAATTTGGGTTGTTGATTAATTTTTACGCTTCAAATCATGATATCTTGTTTCGGTAGATATTTTTGTCTTTAATCGTGCCATTTAATTGCCCAGAAATTCCCCAATTATCCGAGTATTCAGCGTCAAACGTGAAAATTTGGAAATGTCAAAGCAGAAATTACGGAAGTGATCCAAAAACGACACCTAGCGGGTAACTTTCGAGTTCCGAGTGTCACAGAATAAAGGGAAAAGTCAGAGGACTACGAAAAAGTTCGGGAAAATTTTGATAGAAAGAAGTCGAAATCGATTCATTTTTGTATAAGTGACAAGCCAATTTTGAATTAAACTGTAGCGAAAAATCTTAAATTATTCTTAAGATTTAATATCGTAGGTTTTAAACAATATGAGAGGCAACTGAAGGTGGTGGTAAGAAATGTTTATACTTACTATGACCATTAAAACGACGAGAGCAACGAAGCAACCCTGCATACATCTCTGAAAATATCAAAATTTATAATTAAATGCTATTGTTCTCTTGTGCTTATGATTATGGTGTTCTGAGTTGAAAAAAATGTTGCAAAAGTACAAGATCAATTCCATTTATTTTGAAAGATTTCATGGGACGTTTCTGCGATTGTGATATGATTATGAAATTAAAATCTCAATTTTCAGTTTTCGTAAAATCAAAGTTAGTTTGTTATCCTATATCTTCTTATTTCCTATGCAAATGCCTCATTTTTGTATTTCAGTGTATGTCTTCTTTCTGTTAATTGGAAAATACACGTAATTGTTTAATCTGATGAGTCGATTCCTTTTTTTTGTTCCGTCGATTGTTTAAAACTGTTTCATCCGATTAGCCAATTGGCTTAAAAAATGATTTATATTTTATCTCACACATGTAATGTAAAGAATAACTTTTTCAATCATGCTACCCTCACACCCATTTACTTTTCGTAGAAATCTTTCTCTTGCAAGGTACTTGGCATTGTTGAATTAATTTTTAGCTATCAACTGGGACAATTGTTTATATACAGACACAGTAAATGAATATCCCAATCAACAAGGTAAATAATATTACACCTGTAACACAGTGGTCATACAACCTGTAAAACGCTGTCGTTCATACTGATGTACTTACATGTAAACTTACTCGTATATAAAAACTTTATTTAAGGCTTTATCAATAAACATTTCTGAAAAGATTGGGGAAAATATTAACAATCGTTGAATAAAGCTTACGGTTGCAGGCGATTGTTCATAATAAATTCCCTGTTCCAGGTCATTCTGTTTTCCTTTTAATAAACTTGATTTATCGTCTGCCATACTTTTCTATCATGTGATACAATTTATTGATAGCTACACTGTTATCATATGACAACATGGCTGATTCAAAATCAACTGAAGTTGATGCTATATATTATGAAGTATCACCATATATCGTAAGTATTTTAATAATATTGAACTTTCATGATAAAATTAAAAATCTTGTAAGTGCGAGAAAAATATCTGTATACTAAGTAAATTAAAATCAAATGTTATTAGACCTATTTCGATGCCCCCCAATTATATTCAATAATTATTTTTTTTTACCTATAAGGAAATTTAAAGATAAAGTAAATGTTTTATTCTTTTTTATTTCAGATAATTCTACTTCGGATGTTTAACTTCATCGTTCTTTTGATGGCATTGGTAATCATGAAATTTATCATTTTCAACTTTAATGACTGCAGTTCTTTTTTAAGGCTTAAGATATTTGATTACAGGATAGCTTACTGTTTTCATCTGAAAATAGCCCCTTTTATAATCAAGATTATGCCTCTGGATTTAGTGTAAATATTGACAAAGAGAAGTCCGATATACAATCGAGTCACTATCTTAGGTACTAACGTATAAATATTGAGCAATAGTCTGTTTAGGTATTTCTTCTTTGCTTGTAATATCAAAATATTTTATTTACTTGATTAAAATCATATAGATTACATGTATATAAAATTATCTTTCGATAGATATTAGTAGTAAATCTAAATTTCTAAGAGTTAGACGACCGTTGGCTTGAATGCATGCAACGATTTTACAATAAGTAAGCTGAAGATCTGTGAAACTGTTCCTAATTATCTCCCTTTGGAAGTTTTGTGTAGCCCTTCATTTTTGAATACAAATTTGAATTCCTTTAACACAAGAATTCTCTGTACATGTACTTTGTTTCAAATTGGTTGAAACTGGCCCGATATGGGTCTAGCGAAGAAGATGAAATTGTAAAAGAAAAAGTTTACGACGACAATGAAAACACCACCAACAATGACAATACCGATATGACAGACAACGGGAAAAAAGTCATGATCTGGAAATCTCACTTTCAAGACCCTATGGCTATTGATAACAAAGAGCAGACTTCATTTTCAGACTATGTAACACCCCCCCCCCCCATCTGCGAAACCCTGACCCAGGGGCCCTGAAATAAACCATTTTGGAAGAGGCACCTTTCTTCATCATAAATATATAAATGTGTACTTAGATAATTGGCATAATACCCAGCAAAGTCACAATGTCGAAGGGACTTTCTTGCTCATCATATCTATGATCTTGTTTAGTTTGAATAATATCCAGGAGAAGAGAAGATTTTCAAAGAAATAATGAATTTTCACTATATAATCAATAGAGCCTCGCCATAACAACACAACCCCTGGCCCAAGGATCATGAAATTCACAATTTTGAAAGAGACAGCCTTATTCAACATAACTATGTACTTGTTTAGTTTATTTACGCCTAGGTGTAGAGAAAAAGATTTTCAAAGAAATATTGCATTTTCACTATATAATCTATTTAGCCTCAGCACTAGAACTCCTGACCCAGGAGCCATGAATATCACAATTGTGGTAGAAGACTCAATGCTGATTACAATCATGCAAACAGTTTGACTGCTTGATGTGCAGGAGTAAAGAAGATTTTTTTAAAGATTGCATTAATTTTAGTGGCGTTGATCCCATTCCTCAGGGCCTGGGAGGGGGGGGGCAGGGATCATGAAATTCACAATTTTTGTTCTCCTTTACCCACAGAGAAGTTGCAGAGAAGAAGCTGAAAATGTTCAAATGTTGACGCACGACGACGGACGAAAACGGATAGTTTACTCAGGTGACCTTAAATTAGGAGCATTGTTTGCATTGTTTGCACCTTTCCGTCAGTCGGTCGGTAGACCAAGTGTCGACTGCTCAACATCATTGATAGACTTAGTTCATGGAACAGTGACGCACCCCTGAATATGACCCTGATTGATTTTTAGGTTAAAAGGTGAGAGGGCAAGAGTAAAACTATTCTAATTCTAGAAAAATATTGTCCGCTTTCAATATCTTAAGAACCCTTGGCTAGACAGAAATTGTACTTGGAGCACTGGGTTCCCTTTTAACGACTAAAGGACCTTATTTGATTTCAAAGGGGGATAAAAGGTCATGAGAGAAATTGTACATAGGGAAAATGGCGATATTGACCAGTAAACATCACAAGAATCTTTTGCTTGACATACATACATCAATTTTGATACATTTCCCTAAAGAAGTAGTTGACCACTAAAAAATTTGAGGTTATAGGGACGAAGTTCAACGGTCAATCTATTCTAGACATGGGATGATATTGACTTGCTCGGTATTTTAAGAGCACTTTACTTGGCAGACATCCAACTTGGTACTCTAGTTACACCTAGGAGTAGATGGTTCCTTTTGATTTTGCAAATTAACACAAAGTGAAAGATAAAGGTTAAATGACATATACTTTAGACCTACTTTTAAAAAGCAAACCTTGACCATAACTTTTAAAGGGTTAGGGCTAGTGCTTTAGTACTTTACATATTTAATCCTTGTGACAAGACCTTTCATTTGATATCAAGACCTTTGACCCTTTGACCATGGACTTTGACCTACTTTTTAAAAATTTTTAACCTTGGTCATAACATCTCAACGGTTAGGACTAGGACTTCCATACTTTACATATGTATTATTTGTGGCAAGACCTTCATTGGATACCAATTACCTTGAACTTTTGACCTTGGAGATTTGTTGACTTATGGAAAAAGCTATAACCTTGGCCATTACTTTTGAATGGTAAGGGAAAGGGCTTTCATAATTCACATTTGTAATCCTTGTCAAAAAATCCTTCATTGGATACCAAGAACTTTGACCCTTTGACATTTGAGTTTTACCTACTTTTAAAAAGCAAACCTTGACCATAACTTTTAAAGGGTTAGGGCAAGTGCTTTCATACTTTATTAATCCTTGTGACAAGACCTTTCATTTGAAAGCAAGACCTTTGACCTTGGAGTTTGACCTACTTTTTAAAATTTTTAACCTTGGCCATAACTTTTGAAGACTTAGGGCTAGTGCTTTCATACTTCACATATGTATTTTTTGTGGCAAGACCTTTCATTGGATACCAATTACCTTGATCTTTTGACCTTGACCTTGGAGATTTCCGTACTTATGAAAAAACTTTAACCTTGGCCTTCTTTCATATTTCAGAATTGTATTTCCAGTGAGTTTGCATTTGAGAAAAGTTTAATATTCGCTATGTTGCCATACGGAGACATCAGTGTTTCACAAACACATCTTGTTGGTTAATGGAATCCAAGATTGTTCAAATGAAACCCTATTCCAAGGGGGTGATAATTAAGAAATATTGAAAGTTAAGTTTAAGTTGGTCATTAAAAATCTTCTTAAGAATCAATCCATTGTAGCTCCATAATTTTAACTAACTTGAATCTACACTATGTTAAGAAGAATTCATTAGAGTTTCTACTTTTTGGCCCAGTGGTTGAAAACATGTCACCAAATTTTCACTATTTCTTAATTATTTTCCTTACATGAGAATATAACCCTTTGAAATTGGGCATGTTGGTTCTAAAGAAGTCGAAAATTTTTATGAAAAATTTACAGATGGACAGACTACAGACAAAATGTGATTTAAAAAGCTCACTTGAGCTTTAAGCTCATGCAGGGAGCAAGAAATACTATCAATAAAGTCAGTATTTACAAGTTTTCCAATGCTGTTAACACTTTGAACCGACTTAATTACAGCATAGAGCGTGGCTGTCCACTTTATCTGTGACATATGTACAGCTGTATGTGTGTCGGTGTTATATCTCAAACTACTATTTATTAGATTAAATTAAGATGCATTGTATTTTTAGGTTTCCATGATAATATGTATCGTTCAAGGAGATGACAACAACACATACTATCTACTGGCCGCGAACACGGGAAGTATGTATATTACAACTATAATACAACGGGAAGTACCCGATATGTATCCCATATACAGGAAATTATAACAAGAGGCCCATGGGCCACATCGCTCACCTGAGAAGTTTTGACCATTCTGTTCTTTACCAGATTCCCCCCTTGTAATACATATTGTGACCCCACCCAACCCCACTGATCATAATTTAGACAATTTGAAATCTACACTACCCCAGGATGCTTCCACATAAGTTTCAACTTTTCTGGCCCAGTGGTTCTTGCGAAAAAAAAATTCAAACATTTTTCCTATATATTTCTATGTAAAACTTTGATTCCCCATTGTGGCCCCGCCCTACCCCTGGGGGTCATGACTTGAACAATTTATAATCTACACTACCCCAGGATGCTTCCACATAAGTTTCAGCTTTTCTGGCCCAGTGGTTCTTGAGAAGAAGATTTTAAAAGATTTTTCCTATATATTTCTATGTAAAACTTGGATTCCCCATTGTGGCCCCGCCCTACCCCCGGGGGTCATAATTTGAACAATTTAGAATCTACATTACCCCAGGATGCTTCCACATAAGTTTCAGCTTTTCTGGCCCAGTGGTTCTTGAGAAAAAGATTTTTAAAGATTTTTCCTATATATTTCTTTGTAAAACTTTGATTCCTAATTGTGGCCCCGCCCTACCCCCGGGGGTCATGATTTGAACAATTTAGAATCTACACTACCCTAGGATGCTTCCACATAAGTTTCAGCTTTTCTGGCCCAGTGGTTCTTGAGAAAAAGATTTTCAAACATTTTTCCTGTATGTTTCTATGTAAAACTTTGATTCCCCATGATTTGAACAATTTAGAATCTACACTACCCAGAATGCTTCCACATAAGATTCAGCTTTTCTGGCCCAGTGGTTCTTGAGAAGAAGATTTTTTTAATTTTGACCTTTCTTGATTATCTCCCCTTGGGAAGGGACCTGGCCCTTCCTTTTAACAATTTAAATTCCCCTTTACCCAAGGATGCTTTGTACCAAGTTTGGTCAAAATTGGCTCAGTGGTTCTTGAGAAGAAGTCGAAAATGTGAAAAGTTTACAGACGGACTGACAGACGGACGACGGACAAAATGTGATCAGAAAAGCTCACTTGATCCTTCGGCTCAGGTGAGCTAAAAACCTATGAGGTTCGTCAAACAAATACCGGGGGGGGGGGGTGTTAAAGTAAATATGTAAAATATAACAACATAACAAGTTTTGTGACCAGGCACTACGTGTTCTTTTAGAAAGGGTGGGGTGGGGGTTCAGAAAAAGCTGTAGAAAAAATCACAATGCGAAAAAGTATTGATACAATGAAAATAATCATTACATAGTAATTGAGTAATTCATTGTAATAATGATGTATGATATATGATATGTCAGTGCATTTCAATAAAAGAAACTGAAAAAGCATCTTATTCATCTAGGACACATAATAAACACCAGGAGAAATGTTCAGTTGATATGCACTATTTTTAAGATATGCATTCTATATTAAGAAAAATGAAGATCTAGATATTGACGTTTCATTACATGAATACGAGGGGTGATCAAAAAGTTTGCGAACTAATTGAATAACTTCCATAAAAGAAATAATATTTGGTTTCAAAGTTGATTATATTTTAAATTAATCCTCTCCGATTTTAATGCACATCAACCACCGTTCTGCGCATGCACGAATCACGTGATATTGGCGGTCATGTGACCCCCTCCGTAGCGTTCTGTCACAAAAGTTGAAAGATTTTTCTGAGTTTTATATTTCTTTCCATGTGAGTTAATTTTTATGACAAGAACAGTTAATTTGTCAGAAATGGTCAAATCTCGGCAACAGAATGGGTGGATAAGAATATCCTTTCCAAAAATAAGCATAGCGACCATTAAAACACAAATCTTCTGTCTCGGGAGAGACCTTTATTCAAGGTGGATAGATCTTTTTATCATATCTAATATGTTTAAAATCTAAAGTAAACGATATCTTAGGTATTTTATAATTATATTATTGTTCAAATATTCAACAATTTTTCAAAGTGTAAATTGGAGGTCTTTGATAGCAAATTGCTTAATTAAAAACACATATCTTTTCAAACTTGCTTTCACTGGGCAAGATGACAAGTATCATTTTTAACCATCTGCCTTCCTTCACTAAAACGATCAATCCAATCATTAATTGAATTTATAGGTGCTCATTTTTCTTAATAAACTGTGTACAAATTATTATATGATACTGCAGAGGGATTTCTAAGAAATACAATAAATCGTACAGTCGTTTGTTGAACGAGTTCGACTGAGACAACCATTTTTCGTCACAAGTGAACTACATAGTGACGTCATTTTCACATTGTGACGTCACAAACAAGGAGAAAAACTTTATTCAGCATATGCTGTTTATAGACCTTGTGTATGGCTATATGTGTACCGAATTTCATTCTAATCTGAATTGTGGTTTTGTAGATATAGAGATAGTTCGCGAACTTTTTGATCACCCCTCGTATCTTGCTGTAATTTATTTTAGAAGCATATTTATTTAATCATATTAGCTGTAGGTAATTAATTTCGCCACCTTCTCTCTTCTTTAAATATCTTCTAAATATTAACCTTTCAGCTATCTTTACTTACAGTTAGTGGGATAGTCTGTCTAGTGGTGGTAAGTATTGTTTATTTTTTTAATACAGATAACCGTTTCAACAAAGGTCAATCGTATATTTCAATACTATTGTAAAAAAAAAAATAGAATCGGACTATATAATGTTTTGCCCTTTCTATATATCCGTCGAGCTGTCTGCCTGTGTCACAGACACGTGTTTCGGTAAAAAAAATTTTGCCCATAGTATAATTATACATGTAACACTATCATTATACCATGGTTAAAAATTTATAACCGAAACAAGTGCCTATGGTCTGTGTATCTGTCTGTATGTTAGAATTTGTCCGCAAAACTTTAACCTTGTCCATAACTTTTGAGGGGGTGTTTTCTCAGGTATTTTCCCAACGACCAAACAATTTTGATCTTAATTCTGAACTTGACCTTGGAGTTTGATCTACTTCCATAACTTTTGAAGAGTTGGTGCATGATGTATAACATAGTACAACAAATATTAAAAGATGGCGTGTAAGGGGAATGTTTTTGAAAAAGGGCAGTAAATCTTATAATTATCTACATGTAATTGGGAGGTCTATTGCGAAAACTTTTCAACTACCTCTTCGAAACTTCAGGTGATCATTAACGCTACATTTTATTAATAAAACCATTGCCGATTACAACTCATAACCGCTACATATCAAATCAAGCATGCATCAATGACACGGGATATAAGTTCTGTTCATTGTAATTCATTTTAAGAGATTTCCAGACAGCAGTTCGTAAAGAATATAGCCTTCATAGCTTAACTTATTATGTAAAGACTATGTGGCGGTCAGCCGGGTCGATCGCCGGTGGCCAGATAGCTCAGTTGGTAGAGCCTGACCGGAGTTTCAGGGGGCCCGGGTTCGAATCCCGGTCTGGTCCGCTGCATTTTCTCCTCTCCCGTTACAACTACATGTATTTTATCCATGAACAGTGCTTTGTTTTAAAACTTTTTATGTTAGATTTTAAATAATATCAACACCGTTAAAGCCGTACATAAGCACATATATATAAATCCAAATGATTGTTATGAATAATAACGTAGCGTAACCATTCTGTTTCTTTTACAACTTTCTTCTTCTCTCCCTGCTACGGAAGCGTATTAGTGCCACTTGGACACTTTACTTTTTATAATTTCTACACTTTAATCTGTACATTTTACAGTTTAAATTTTACACTTTAATCTGTAAATTTTACACTTTAATCTGTAAAATTTACACTTTAATCTGTAAAATGTAAACTTTAATCTGTAAAATTTACACTCCAATCTGTAATATGTACACTTTAATCTGTAAATTTTACACTTTAATCTGTAAATTTTACACTTAAATCTGTAAAATTTACACTTAAATCTGTAAAATTTACACTCCAATCTGTAAAATTTACACTCTAATCTGTAAATTTTACACTTTAATCTGTAAATTTTACACTTTAATCTGTATATTTTACACTTTAACTGTTTAATTCACATAGTAAATTTATCAACTTCATACATCCGCAGTAACACATTTTAAAGCCAACAAACCATGAATTATGCATGATAAAGTTTAATTCTGATTATTTTATTTTACAATAAATGCAAATAAGCAAATTAGTATGACTGATACAAGTAAAACTTTTCTTAGAATATAAGTGAAGAGCATATCAAACATACATGCATATATTCTCAATGAATGTGATATTGATATCATCATACGCAAATTCGTTTAAAGCGCCCAACAGTTCAATTATTGAAATCATTATTAATATCTATACATGTATTACATTCTATATGAATAACCGGCAACAATTGAATTAATTAATTTTTTTAAAATAACCAATTAATATATTAATAAGTAAAGTATATACATATATAAATAACTAAAGTACATGTTTATATTAATTTTGGAACAGCAAAGAAATTTATATCCTTTGATTCAATGACATTTCTTTATTGCTAAGTTCAAAATTGACCGTAATTTTAATGTTATATATCATTTCATCATGACCATAGTCCCATAAACTTGCAATATCAATCTGAACTGCAAATAAACAAATCTTTGAGATGTATATTTTTACAGTTCGTTACACTATAGTACAACTAAAGAAAAACAGGTATATATAGTATACTGAATCAAAAGCAGATCCCCGATTTCTTATGCTGGGGAAAATTACGATGCCCATGAGGAAATCGTCCATCCTTATTTTTATCATATACTAGTATACATGTACATGTAAAAAAAAATTTGCAAACAATTGTGAACATCTCAGTTTAATACTTTTTTCAAGTGTCATAGGAAAAACATCACAAATCGACCGCTTGATTACAAAAGATTACAGTACAGGTTGTTCAGAATAACGAGTAAAATTTACTGATTAAAGTGTAAATGTTACAGATTAAAGTGTAAAATTTACACTTTAAAGTGTAAAATTTACAGATTAAAGTGTAAAATTTACAGATTAAAGTGTAGAATCTACAGATTAAAGTGTAAATTTTACAGATTAACTTGTAGAATCTACAGATTAAAGTGTTATTTTCACAGATTAAAGTGTTAATTTCACAGATTAAAGTGTAAATTTTACACTTTAAAGTGTAAATTTTACACTTTAAAGTGTAAAATTACAGATTTAAGTGTAAAATTTACACTTTAAAGTATTAAATTTACAGATTAAAGTGTAAACTTTAAAGTGTAAAATTTACATATTAAAGTTTAAATTTTACAGATTAAAGTGTGAAATTTACAGATTAAAGTGTAGAATTAAAGATTAAAGTGTAAAATTTACACTTTAAAGTGTACAATTTAAGATTAAAGTTTAGAAATTAAAGATAAGTAAAGTGTCCAAGTGGCCATAATACGCTTCCGTACCCTGCACTCCTATTCCCTTCCTTTCTTATTTCTCTGCACCTCCCACCCTTTTCTGCATTGTACATTATTTGGTTGTACATCACGTTTATATACTAGTATTTTTGTCATTTTGTTTGTGTTGGAGAGGACAACCTTGTAGCTGGAATAACTTGTGTCTAATCCAATATTCTAACAAGTAAAATTGCTGCTTTTTAGCTCTACTGGTCAGAGACCAGAAGAGCTTATGCGATAGTAATGCGTCCGGCGTCCGTCCGTCTGTCTGTCTGTAAACAATTTTTCAAAATGCTACTCCTCCTACAGTTTTGGTCTGATTTCAATATAACTTGGCATACAAGTAGACTACACTAAGATACATACTTTTGTTTATCTGTTTTTGATTTCGATGAACAGTGTTGGCGTTGTTACTAAAAATAGAAATTTCTGTGAAGTTCTTTCAAAATGCTACTCCTCCTACAGTTTTGGTCTGATTTCAATATAACTTGGCACACAAGTAAACTACACTAAGATACATACTTTTGTTTATCGGTTTTTGGTTTCGTTGAACGGTGTTGGCGTTGTTACTAAAAACAGAAATTTCTGTGAAATTCTTTCAAAATGCTACTCCTCCTACAGTTTTGGTCTGATTTCAGTATAGATTGGCACACAAGTAAAGTACACTAAAGTTCATAATTCTGTGTATCGTTTTTTGATTTTGATGAATGATGTTGGCGTTGTTACTAAAAATAGAAATTTCTTTGAAATTCTTTCAAAATGCTACTCCTTCCAACTGCTTAAGTACTTTCCTTTCCCTTTGCTATAAGTACAAACCAGTAGATCTTCAGTCTCGATAGAGACTTCTGGTTTGTAGCGGTATTGAGTATGTAGAGGCAATGACCGGTCATTTATTCTCTCAAAAACCATATACATGGTACAAGAGATACATATATACGTATTTACAATAATTATGGACGAGCAGAAATTACAGGAGAACAGTGTCAAAAATTTTGGTTGGGTCTCCTTTTTTAGCTCTACTGGTCAGAGACCAGAAGAGCTTATGCGATAGTAATGCGTCCGGCGTCCGTCCGTCTGTCTGTGTCTGTCTGTAAACATTTTTTCAAAATGCTACTCCTCCTACAGTTTTGGTCTGATTTCAATATATCTTGGCACTAAGATACATAATTTTGTGTATCGGTTTTTGATTTCGAAACGGTATTGCCGTGGTTACTAAAAATACAAATTTCAGTGAAACTGTTTCAAAATGCTACTCCTCCTATAATTTTGGTCTGATTTCAATAGAACTTGGCACGCAAGTAGACTACACTACACGCTGATCAAGATTTTACGTAGGAATATATAAGAAAAATCTTTAAAAATCTTCTTCTCCAGAACCACTGGGCCAGGAAATATTAAACTATTGTGGAAGCATCCTCTGGTAGTGTAGATTCAAGTTTGTTCAAATCATGACCCCCGGGGGTAGGGCGGGGCCAGAGTGGCTGATCAAAGTTTTTCATAGGAATATATAAGAAATTTTTAAAAAAATCTTCTTCTCCAGAACCATCGGGCTAGTACAGATGAATCTTATGTGGAAGTATGCTCAGGTAGTGTAGATTCAAGTTTGTTCAAATCATGACCCCCGGGGGTAGGGCGGGGCCACAGTGGCTGATCAAAATTTTACATAGGAATATATAAGAAATTTTAAAAAAAAATCTTCTTCTCCAAAACCACTGGGCCAGGAAATATGAAACTCATGTGGAAGCATCCTCAGGTAGTGTAGATTAAAGTTTGTTCAAATCATGACCCCCGGGGATAGGGCGGGGCCACAGTAGCTGATCAAAGTTTTACATAGGAATATGTAGGGAAAATCTTTAACATTCTTCTTTTCCGGAACCACTGTGCCAGGAAAGATGAAACTCATGTGGAAGCATCCTCGGTTAGTGTAGATTCAAGTTTGTTCAAAGCATGACCCCCAGGGGTAGGGTGGGGCCACAATGTCTGATCAAAATTTAACATAGGAATATATAGGAAAAATCTTTTAAAAATCTTCTTCTCAGGATCAGCAAAGCTATGATTGGTGATATTAATATGGAAACATCCTCAGTTAGAGTAAATTCAAGTTTGTTCATATCATGACCCCTGGGGTAAGGTGGGGCCATGATGGGCAATCAAATCTTTACATAGAAATATATAGGAAAAATC